TTAGTACCTCGGAGAAAAAACATGTTTTTTCTCCGAGGTACTAAGTTTTTTAACTGATTTATTTTCTCTACACAAGCCCCTGTGGCCCAACTTTCAATAAAGCAATTAAAATTTGCAATTGTGAAACTGAGATCAAAAGTGACTTTATCTGAATGTTATGGCACTGGAGCACAGGCACATGTCAGGCACGTAGCATCGATTTTGAAAGTGGGGGAGGGCAAGCCACAGAAATTTTTTTTTTACTTACCTGAAAAAGTTGACAAGCAAAAAAAAAAAAAAATGAAATTGCCCAAAGACGAAAATCATATTTCGGGGGGGGGGGGGGGGAGAGAAACCCCCTGCCCCCCCCCCCCCCCTTGTTGCTACGTCCCTGCATGTTTCGGAAATAATTTTTTAACCCATAGTATAATAATAACACAAAGTATCTAACTCCGAATTACACTCAGTACATGTACCTCCTCCTCAGAAACGCGCTCATTTACAATTTCAGATGAAACGCACTGGCAAACTTTTTATTACCATTGTCTTGTATGGTAATTTACCTACACAGAAATAAAATGTTCTGTTCTGTTCTATACGGCATGTATGTCTTTGTTTTCTTTTATCTTCGTAAACAGCGTCAAAACTCTGCCCGCCGAGTGGAACTCAACCACGAAACGGTATGTGCTAATCTCCGGCAAAGCGCAAAACTAAATAAATCAGTGAGTTTAAAAATTCAGTTTCAGATTTCAAATATGGCAATGAATAAATAAAATTTGATTACGTCTCATTTCTCATAAAAACACACCGACATTTTTTCGATGTAATTTTAGATACAGATTTTTAGCCAATCAAAATTGTCGTGCGGGATCAGCACATACCGTTTCGTGGTTGAGTCGGCGGGCAGAGTTTTGAAGCTGTTTACGCGGAGACCTTGTACTGATAATTATACCCCCCGCTTGAAAAGTGGGAGGGTATCCTGTAATCGGTATGTCCGTCTGGGGTGTTGCTAAAACGCGAAACGGAAAACGGAACGGGAAGCGGAACGGAACGGAAAACGGAAATTTTTTGTCAAACAAATAACAAAGATTCGATATAAATCAGATAAAAGAGCAATATTCTTGCTGTAAAAATCATTTCTGATAAAAAATTATTGTAAACTATTATATATTTATGAGTCATACACACCCTCCGTGGAAAAAATGGTACTGAAAGAAATTCGACCCCCCCCACACACACAAACACACGAAATAGGATTTTCGTGTTTGGGCAAAGGACATATCCCCCTTCTTTGGCTTGTCAAATTTGTTGTATGTTGGAAAATTTTTACTGACCGCCCCCCCCATCCCAATTTGTTTCCAATGAAAATGTATGTAAAGACAAAAATAACTAGTTATGATATTCAGATTATGCACGCAGTGTCGAAATTCGCGAATCATGAAAGGGGGAGTGGCAGTTTCGGGTCTGTTTAGGGGCCCACAGTCACATTAAAAATTAATTTATTAAACGTTATGTATATTTTGGACACAAAAAGGGGGGCACACCTATTACAACTTCTCAGACCTTTCCGATGAGCGGGAAAACAAACTCATTTTTTATGAGGTCATTCATATACACCCCCCCCCCCCCTCCCTAACATACACACATATGTACGCAAACAAACAAAATTTAACTTCATTGAATGCAAAGATTCTGCATTATATCTACCACATGAAAGTTTTCCAAATTTGTCTATCCAGAATTTAAATATATAGAAAGCGACTCTATTTTGAATAAAATTTTAACATCCAGTGTGTATAAGAGATGTTTATTCGAGCTTGCCGTAAAGGTTTGCCCTAACAATCTTAATATTTTTTTTTTTACATTTTATTTCTCTTTTCATGGTTCATCTAGATATCAAATATTTGATCCCCACCCAGTCAAAACCTTTTTACTATGGAAATGTTCGTTCAAGTTGACATCCTCACACTTTTTGTGAATGTAATTAACGTAGTAAGTTAGTGTTAAAAAAAAATAGTACTGAAAAATGTTGGAGTTGGAACTTATCCCCCATCCCGAATCAAAGAATTGTTTCTTTTTGTGTTTTTGCTTGTCAAATACTTTTCAAATTTGTTTATCCCCCCTTTTCAAATTCGATTTTAGGTGACTGCTATGTTTGCGATTTTCGTAAAAAAGAGACTGAGCATGTCAAAATCAACATGTATTTAATAGTGGGGGATTGAATATGTACAAGACATAACGTTTATGATAAATTTTGTGTATTTTAAGTGATTTAATCCAAAATAATATATTCCGTTTTCCGTTCCGTTCCGCGTTTTAGCAACACCCGTCCGTCTGTCTGTTATGCTTTGGGGTACCCATCTCTTTTCCGCAACTCCTCTTATACCACTAATTGAAATTTAATGAAACTTTCACCGAATCTTTATTACATATTGCCATTGTGCACCTCCTATTCTGTTTTTTGATCCGACACATATTTTGGGTTTCCCGGCCACGGCAAAACATGGACTTTGCCATTATAATCATATGGGAGGCGGGGGGTATCATTTAGTGAGCTCATTGCTCACAGTACCTCTAGTTGTATAAACACATATATAACAAAATCAGGTTTATTATAATCATCACCTTAAAAAGAAGTAAATATAAGTAAATTGAAATTCAGCAAACTAGCGTGCCAATTGCCACAAAATTAGTTCCATGTAAAACAGTATCAACATAGTGATTTCTTGTTTTATCAACTTTATTCAAAGAGTATGTGCACTGTTTACTAGGGAAGTAGGGGAGGGGAAAGAAAAAGTAACTGACAATTGCAAGATACCTTTAAAAAAGTTGGAGTGGTTCAATGTTACTGTATGGTTAGAACTTTTAAGTCATATAACATCTAAATGAAAGAATTTGATAAAAAGGAGGGCAACGAACCTCTAAATGAAACCTTTCCCAGAAAACTGTTTAACGCCGAGTAAGAAATATTTTACCTATTTTATTGCTGTTAAAATCATCGTCACGAGCTACGGTCCGGAGTCCGCTATAATATACTTATCTCCAGAATGGATAGGATTAAAAATTTTGGTCGTGGTTTTGCGTTCAAGATTGAAATTTTTTTTTGGTTTCCCAGCTGTCGGCCCCCAGCGAGTCTACTCTTTTTCAAAGCCAGAAAAAGATCTTTTGTATGCCAAAGGGGTTGTAATCCTTAACATGGAGAACCATTTAACGTCCAATCCGACGGACTTACAATTTCAAAATTTAAAAACAAATTGCTAAATGAAATCTACATTACTCTTAATGTAAAAATAAATTTCTTGGAAGTATTGTTAAATTTTACAAGGACTGATATTTGTACATAATTAACATTTTAAACAAATTTGTACAAGCGAAAAATCATTGTATTATAAAATTATTACCACAAAATTACCAAAATATTTCCCAAAGAATTTACGTATTTTCCCCAAAATATTTAAGCTCTCTGTAATGAATTTTTAAGTGCATTTCCTTCCCAGGACCAAATTGACTTGAATCAAATAAAATTCAACAATTTTACTTGCCTAGTAAACTAAGAGTATTTGCAATTCATTGGAATACCCAGAATGATGGCTGATCAATCTTCCTATTGTTTCTGAATTCTAAGCATCATAGCAAAGAAAAAATAAAAATAATTGATACAAGCAGATCGAATATAATCAAATGCAAATTTTTTTCTTCATATATGCATTGTATATATGGATAAAAAGTTTAAGCACTTAATACATGTATCAAAAGCATGAACAATTTTTTTTTTTTTCACACGGTTATGGTTGAAAAAAGTTAACTGCATTGATGATATCCATAATTTAAAGATACAAAATTCTTGATTAAGCCCTTGTCGTTTCTTTTGCGTGTCAGTATATTTGAGCTCTATGTAAGGAATTTTTCTTTAAAATAAAGAGACAATGTTTATGAAACATATTCTCTCCATGCAGTGAATTCTTGAAAGACAATTTTGAAATATACATTGTATATATCTTGTTAGTTTTCTTTTTTTTTTTTTGATCATGATGTTATAAGAAAGATAACTCATACAGGCAATCTGTACTTTTCAAGAGATCATTTCAGGATGATCGTATCGATTTAAAATAATGAATTTTACATATCCTTTGAAAGAAGTTTAGAAAAAAATAAAGAACAAAAGGAAAGAGAGAGGAAATACATTTTCACATAAACGACTTGTACAATATATACATGTAAAACAAGTACAGTACATATACGTGCACCACAATGGGTGGACAAAAACAGGTAGAACTACACTGTAGGTCAACTGGAGTTTCAGGTGACCTACATGCATAGCACGTATTAATGCTGAATTCAAGAATTAAAAAATGATCATAAAATGGCTTTCAATTCTGCTTAATAGATGTCCTCATATTCTGGTGAAAAATAAGTAAAAGATTTATAAAATAATTTATTTTCTAGAGTACTGACACAATTAAATCATAATTTTTTTGCGTCCCTTTGAAAATATGGGAGAACAAGTATTGAATCTAATAAAATGAAAAATCCACTTAAAATAATCCTTCACAGTTGTAAATTAATCTAAACAAATGTGTAAACAAATGTAAATTTGTGGTGAAATAAATACCATGACACAGTTGTACATGTATATATGCATAATCTCAAAAGTCTTACAGATAAACTTCATATTTAATAGTGTTATTTTTCTGAAGATCCTGTGTATTTGTACAATATATTCAGAAAAGATAAAAAAAAATTAACAATGTAATTCTGTCAAAAGATAAACTTTAAAATTGTGTAAGTTCAAGTTTCAACAATGTAATGTGAACAGAAATTTACAAGTATCCAATCCAAAAAAAAAAAAATCAACATGTATGCACAAATTTGAACACACAAACATGCGAAATATGTACATTTTTCTGTAAAAATAAAAAAGAAATTTTTTTTTCCTTCTGGTAAATTTTGAAAGCATATATGTATCAATTAAATTTTTCACAAATATTGGTTATTGAAAAGTGATGAAAAATAAAAATCTCATTTTTCACAGGAAGAGGGTTAAAACATACAAGCTTTGACTTTTATTTTAGTTCTCTTCATGTAATATTTCAGCCAGTCGTTGAAATGCCTAAAATAAGAAATAAATATTCATAACTGCAATTAGGAATCGATCAGCCCAAAAAATTTTGAAGAAAAAAATCAAAACTTTTCATCAGACACTTGGGATGCTGGGTAAGAAAGAGTCTTACTGTGTTCATATCTTCCTCAGTACAGTTAGAATACGAGGCCCTGATGTATGGACAAGGTTTAGTGCTATCTAACATGAAGACACTCCCAGGAACAAACAAGACTTCCTTCTCCCGAGCTTTGACAGTCACAAGTTTATACGAGTCCTCCACATTCAGCTTGATCCAAACAAACATACCCCCTGATGGAACGGACCATTCTGCCAGACCTGAAACATTAAAAAAAGAAAACAGTCACAGAGAAACAAGGAGATATAAATCTTGCAATAATATTTTTTAGGATGCAACATTCCAGTGGATTACATACCTGTCAGATGTTTTTCCATGGCTTTTAGACACTGATCCCTCTTGTTTTGATAAAATTCTACTGTATTTTCAGTTTGCTTAAAGAATCCTTCTAGACCCCAGTTTTCCAGGATTTTATGAAGGATTATCTACAACACACAACCAAAATCAGTTTTTTTTAAAACCACCTTAAACATAAAATTATTACAGATTCAAACTATTTACATTGACTTCAAAGTCTCACTGAGTCTGTATCAAACTCTTTTATAGACTTCTGCAACAAAAGTTTCATGTACACTAATATGCTGAATATACTAGACTGAGTATGAAGCAACCCTCTCATACATGTATGCATGTCCTCTGCAATGTTGAATAAATTTAAATGTATTTTAAGTTTCTCAGATAAATTTCTAGTATTTTGGGTTTCTGAGAGTATGCCTTTAACCACGTGATAATTTGCCTAAAATAATCCAGTGACAGTCAGCAAAAAACTTAGGTGACATTGGACATACCTATGTCTACATATACATATCTAAACCTATATCAATGCCTAAAATTTCTGTAAAAATCTATAAATAGCCCTACCTGGGAAATCCCATTAGCATGCATCACTGAGCACTGTTGATGAAGCTCCAGTCTCTCTAACAGAGGTCGCGGTCCAGTGACAAAACCCAGCCTCATTCTATCAATGAAAAAAAATATTGGGAGTTGGTACATGTGTTTTTCAGCATAATAAGATCGATTCAAACAGGATTAACTTATTTTTATGTTAATCTCTTTCCTATGTTTGAAAGATACAACTACATGAACACATTGCATTCAAGACAATTTCTTTACCCTGAGGAGATGATCTTGGAGAAGGAATCAAATCTCACTACTCTACCATCCGTATCCATTGACAGGAAACTGGGAACAAATGGCTTAAATTTAACATGAAACTCATTTAATTAAATAGCTTTAGGAATGAACATTTGTATGCATTTCTAATAAAACTATCCCCATATATTTCTCTGAGAATGAAACAATAAGTTTCTTCCAAGAAAAAAATATTTGGCTGTTAAAGGGAAAAATATTTACTTTATTTTGCATAAGTGAAATGGCTTTTCTTAACATATGGATAATATTGTACATAAGCATGATTAAGGTATCAGTTAGATATGAATCCAAGAATTAAACATTTTAATAAAGATTTTTTTCTTTCTCAACTGATCAAAAATATAATGCAGTGTATAAACAAGACACAGGCACTCTCAGTGGTAAATAATTCCCTTTTACCTTTGTAAACTGCAGATAGAAATAGGGATCATCTTCTAGGATGATCAGATCATACTCCTGAGCAATCTTGTAAATTTCCTTCTTCCTCTCCAGTGTAAGCCCTGCCCCTGTGGGGTTCCCTCCATTGGGGACCAGATACAGGAGTTTGGGGGCATCAGACCCAGGTTGTCTGGCCTCAGTAGGGGACCACCTGGACAAAGCTTGACGTAGAGATGAGGGATTCAGGCCATTAATGTCCGACTCCACTGGGATTAAATTTGATGTGAGTGGTTTCACCTGAAAACATAAAAATATAGAAAATACTATTATCTTCAACAAGATCTTTTAAATGTATGCATTTATGGTCAGAGGGAAAAATAAAGGATCATTTGAATTATACACATGTTTACGATTTCATAAATATATTTCAAAAGCATTTTTAGTTTTGATCATGCAAATAAAAAAAATAAAAAAATAGCTGTTTCAGCAAAACACACTCAATTTTTTCAAAATGAAATTAAAAACAATTTAATTCAATTTAACTATACAGTTAACAGATAGAAAAACTTTGAAGGATCAGAACTATAAAATGGAACCCACAATTGCTAAAGTTCCAGAATAGGCTGGGTGTTCCACCAAAACTTTGTCATTTTCTGTTACCATAGCCTCAAAAGCCTGTAAGAAGTAAAGACAAATTTGATTAGGTGATGTAAAGTTTATTGTTTTTAAACTCCATAAATAGAATAACTGTATCCTAGTTGATAAGATATTATAATACAGAACCTTTGTGAAAGAATATAAAGCAAGTGTTGAATGAATTCTTCGATTACGTTTTTACAGCACCAATATGTCTTCAACTGCATTGTATAGGTCAAAGGGAAAGGGATCTTGCAGATTGTTTGATTCATTTCACTTAAATCATAATTTTTATCACCATCAATTCAAAAGAGAAAACTTCACCATGACAAGACATTTTTTCAGCATTCAAACATTATGTTATGCTACTTAATTGTCTCTACAGTGAACACCTAGCACGCCATTGAATTTTTACCTGCTGTTTAATTATGTGAGACCTACCTTACACAGGCCATCCTGGCTCCCTGTGGTGACGAGAACGTCCATCTGACCAGGGTGATTAACTGCCTCATAGGTCGGAGGATTGTGAACTTTATACTGTAGATCATGAAGAAAATTAACCAAGGGTGGAAACCTACAACACCGATTCACATAGAAAAAAAAATCAATTTGACAATATACCATAAAATGGAGAAACCATTCGTTTTTGTTAGAATGAAGTGTTACATAGATGTGAATTTTTTCACAACTGCAGTTTGATTATATATATTTCGTTAATACATGTACTGATGTTCACACATTTTTATCAACTTGAACCAAGATTTCAATAATTTATTACCCTTTTGTTGGTAAATACTGTAAGGCACTTTTCATTGCTTTGGCATCTAAGTCAATTTTTGTTCCATCCCTTTTTAAAAAAAAATTATGAAAGTCACCCTTGGATAAGTATAAATAAGAAACCTAAAAAAATAAGAAAGACGTGTATTTATCATCTATATATATCATCTAATCTGAGTTTTATAACAAACAAGTAAAGGAAATCTTTTCACCTGAATGCAAAAATAGCATCTTTTCACCCGAGTATGACTAACTTCAAATAAAGGAAATCTTTTCACCTGAGTGTAAAACTAGCATCATCTCACCTGAGTGTAAGACTAGCATCCTCTCACCTGAGTGTAAGACTAGAATCCTCTCACCTGAGTGTTAGTCTAGCATTATCTCACCTGAGAGTACGACTAGCATCAACTCACCTAAGTGTACGACTAGCATCATCTCACCTGAGTGTAAGACTAGCATCATCTAACCTGAGTGTAAGTCTAGCATCATCTCACCTGAGTGCAAGACTAGCATCATCACACCTGAGTGTAAGACTAGCATTATCTCACCTGAGTGTAAGACTAGCATCATCTCACCTGAGTGTAAGACTTGCATCATCACACCTGAGTGTAAGACTAGCATCATCACACCTGAGTGTAAGACTAGCATTATCTCACCTGAGTGTAAGACTAGCATCATCTCACCTGAGTGTAAGTCTACCTGAGTGTACGACTAGCATTATCTCACCTGAGTGTAAGACTAGCATCATCTCACCTGAGTGTAAGACTTGCATCATCACACCTGAGTGTAAGACTAGCATCATCACACCTGAGTGTAAGACTAGCATTATCTCACCTGAGTGTAAGACTAGCATCATCTCAACTGAGTGTAAGTCTACCTGAGTGTACGACTAGCATCATCTCACCTGAGTGTAAGACTAGCATCATCTCACCTGAGTGTAAGACTAGCATCTTCTCACCTGAGTGTAAGACTAGCATTATCTCACCTGAGTGTAAGACTAGCATCATCTCAACTGAGTGTAAGTCTACCTGAGTGTACGACTAGCATCATCTCACCTGAGTGTACGACTAGCATCATCACACCTGAGTGTAAGACTAGCATCATCTCACCTGAGTGTAAGACTAGCATCTTCTCACCTGAGTGTAAAACTAGCATCATCACACCTGAGTGTACAACTAGCATCATCTCACCCGAGTGTATGACTAGCATCATCTCAACTGAGTGTAAGTCTAGCATATTCACACCTTAGTGTAAGACTAGCATCCTCTTACCTGAGTGTAAGTCTAACATCATCTCACCTGAGTGCAAGTCTGGCATCATCTCACCTGAGTGTAAGTCTAGCATTATCTCAGCTGATGTAAGACTAGCGTCATCTTACCAGAGTGTAAGTCTAGCATCATCTCACATGAGTGTAAGTCTAGCATTATCTCACCTGAGTGTAAGACTAGCATTATCTCAGCTGATGTAAGACTAGATCATCTCATCTAAGTGTAAGACTAGCATCATCTCACCTGAGTGTAAGTCTAGCATTATCTCACCTGAGTGTAACTAGTAAGACTAGCATCATCTCAACTGAGTGTAAGTCTAACTCTCACCTGAGTGTAAGACTAGCATCAAGAAGAGGAAATGTCTGTGGATTTGGCATACCTCCTGCCATGGTGATCAGAGAGGGGTTTTCCTGTACTATAGCAGCTGTGACAATAGAAAATAATAAATATTCCCTGGTAAATCACTGTCATGCAGACTCTTGAAGGATTTTTCCTTAGCTGTTTCAGATTCACTTGTATGCATGCAAAATAGTATCTGTCCTCCCTCAAATTTCACTATTACCATACAATAAAGGTGCAAAAAATATTCTGACATTTTTATTCCAAACTTAGATTTTTTTTTCACTAATCTTTTTTTCTGTAACCAAGTAGTTAGTTAGTTATTTGTCTTTCTAAATGGAAAAAAGAACAAACATTCTCTGAAAATTTTTATTATATCATATTATGTCGTTAAAATATTTTTCCTTAATTTTGATGCTTCTCAAAGTAACCCCACTGTTAAAGATGATCTACTATGTGAACTCTACATGTACCTCAAGAGTGATACTCATAGAAATTGCTAATGCTTTATTTTGATAGATTCTGTACATGTGTATTAGGTTTCAAAAACCAAAAATTCAGGGTGTGAATCTGATAGTCTCCAGTCATTATGCTTTTTATGCCCCCCTAACCAAAGATTCAAGGGTATATAGTGTTTGTCCTGACAGTCAATATATTTGTCTTGTATGTCTGCAGAAACCTTTCACCTGAAAGCTTGCTTGTAAGTTTTGAGTGGGTGAGGCTATGGCTTTTATATTTCACAGGGGTATTCCTTATGACATTAGACCTTTATTATGGCACCACCAAATTTGACATCTTGACCTTGGAGTTTGACCCACTCTTACTAAAAAAATCCTAAATTTAACCTTGGCCATAACTTAAACAGTAGGTGCCAGGGTTTTCATACTCCACATGTATATTCATTGTGACAAGATCTTTCAATGGGGTATAAATATTTGTGACTTTTTGACCTTGATCTTAGAGTCTGACCCACTTTAAAAAAACTTAACCTTGGCAATAGCTTTGAACAGTTAGTACTAGACCTTTCATATTTCATAGGTGTATTTCTTGTGACAAGACCTTTCTTGGGATACCAATGATTTTGACCTTGAAGTTGGACTTGCATTTGAGAAACTGCAATCCTTGCTATAAGCTGCCATATGGGCACATCATTGTTTCCCAGATATATCTTATTCATCTACTACCTACATGTAATTTAACCTACTAAAGAAACACATGAAAGCAATTTTTCACTGTATATCTTTATAGTTAACAGGTCACTTATGACAATGATGAAATTAGCTAATTAAACTATTAACAGGATTTCATAAATGTATATAGATGCATTCACTTTTGCAAATTTATTTGTATTGGTGTTGATTTATACATCTTTCCAGATAAGTACAATGAAAAACAATATTTGAACATTTTAGAATGATATTAAAGCGGTTCATTAAAACATTTATACTTATCTAAATTGATATAAATCGCTATTTGATCTTACCTTTAGAAGCCACCATTGATACAATTCGTAAAAAATTATCCTCTCTCTTAAGACTATGATTTGTTAGAAACCTTTTATAATCCATGATATTCTTTTTAAAAACTTGAAATATTGAACTAAATTTCCACAATGAAGGATTTCTAAAATATTAAGATTACAAATTACGGTTCAATAGCTTCTCAAATATACCAGGTTCTGAAAATAGAACATACTAATATATGCATAGTCACAGTACTTGTCAGCTAATAAAATTCAGCAGCATACTGTATCTCCCCTAACTTTAAGGTGAACACTGGTTATTATTTCCATACAAGGGTATGACCTCCAGAAGTCTTAATATGATCTTAGTTGAAAGGCATTCTTTTGCAGACTTGTTTTGTAAGCAATGAATGACAAATATACTTCTTATGTTAAATTATACAATGTCATGAATTCTTTCAAAGATATGCATGCCCAACTATTAGTTTACAATCAAACCTGCTTAATTAAGAGTCCACCTTACTGAACTTTGGAAAGTAGCCACTTAACAGGTGGCCTATAGGCTATTAAAGATACTACAAGTATTCTTAAAGCGAGAGAAAGCATAAAATACAAGAAACAATACCTGAAGCAAGTGACAAAAAGGGGGGATTGTTAAATCGAAGTTTTTTTAAAATGCATGGATCTGTAGATCTCTGCTTTATCTGACTGAATTTTCTCAAGCAGATAGCTAGAGTTTTGCAGCTTGACTGTCCTCAGTGTCCTGGGCATGAAATGGATGAGTAAACAATAAAATATAGAAACTCTATCAACAGCATTAATCACTTAGTCTTGTGTAATAAGAGAGGAGAAATATAAGCTGCAGAACTACAGCATATGGTTTTATATATTAGTCTTTGACCATAACGCTACAGATCCTGTACTGCAAAAAAGTGCAATTTACGGCGCAATATTTTTTGTGCACTTTTGGGGAGAATTTCTCCACTTTCCAGCAAGTACCTTTCACTCCCTAATTCTAAACACATTCTTTAACCAATCTGTATATTTTATCCATCTCCCAACCCTTTATAGTCATCTCTACAGGTGATAAACTCGCTTGATTTTAATTTTCTACAATCCAACAGACAATTCAAATAATGCTACAGTTCTGCAGCTAGAGAAATATATGACAGACCACAATAGATTAGAACTTGGCAGGGGCGGATCCAGGATTTGAAGTTAGGGGGGGCGCTAAAAGTAGGCAAGGGGTCTGGGGGCCGCCTTGAGGCCCCCAGTGGGTCCAGGGCAAAGCCCTGGTGGGGGCCCAGGGGGCGAAGCCCCCGGAAGCTCCTGGATTCTAGAGATTTTGTAGGGTAAAAATGAGGTCTACCGAGTATACATATTAACATTTTGTAGACGAAACTGTGATTTATGTTAACTTTGACAACTGGGGTTATGCGCCCCCCCTTAAATCCGCCACTGCTTGGCCCCCTGAATCTCCAGTCAGGTCCTATTCCAACTGAGTTATCTGGCCAAGAGTCTGTCAATGACAGGTAGACACTCTGCTAAATTAATCCTGAATTTTGATAGAAAATTAAACTAACAGTTTGTGAGGAATTACATTTGGTTCACAGATATGAGACTTTCTTTTTTTTTTGCATTGATTTAGCAAAAAGGTCTATTTCAACTTTATATGTACCAATGGTAACAGCAAGAGTACAGGAGCATGCAACAGAAAAAATTAAGTCTCAGACTGAGAGAGATAAGAACACAACACTAACCAAAAAATACTGGCCAGGGGTATCAATATACACCACTAACAAATACAGCACATTTTGTCATGTCATGAAGTGGCTTTGGAGGGAAATTGTCTGTATATACTTACAGAGAATTCTGATGGCGGAGTGCGTTCTGGCAGCACTGATCTTGGTGAGGTACCTGGCATAATTCATCCTGCAACCCTTAGCTAATCCTCTGGTATCTACAAACAAACTACAATAGATTAACTTAACTAAATACTTGAGCACAGAACCATATTAAGTTTACATTATTTATCTTACATAAGAATAATAAATGACCTCTGCATATGTTTTCTGCAGTGTTATTTGGAAAAAAAATGAAAATAAGAGCACTGTAACATTACAGATTCAGATGAATAAATAAGCAAAGCACAGAAATAATTTTTAAAATACATAAAATCAGAATGAAACCTCAAATCTAAGTCTCTGGGTCAAGGAATCATCATTCTTTACATCATTCACGTTTACTTGTCTTGTCTACTGCTTAAATAGCTCTCGTATGTTCGGAGGTAAAAAAAAATTCGAATACTACTTCCGGTGCAGGTGCTTGACAACACTGTAAACTTTCTCTATCTGATAACGGTTTTCCTACTTTCACTTGTCAGTTTTCGCTACCTCGGTACAAAATGGCCAACGAAAAATTAATGAAGGGACATATTCTAGACTTTGCAGCACAAATGAAAAAGATGGTGAATTGCAAAGACCACAGGTAAGCGTAAAACTAGAAATATGAAAAGTGAAACTATGAAAACAAAAGCTCAATTGTTTTCCCAATTGGTTTACTTATAAAGATGTAACCTTAAAAAGTGGTTTTGAATGTAACAATCATATCTTTAATTGAGTTGTCAAATAATGCGTTCTGCATAATTACTTATGTCTTATTTATTAAGCTCTTTGTAGACATTTTAAGAGCACTCAGTGTATTGATTATTAGTTATAGAATAACCTAACTGTGTATCGGGACATGCCCCCATTAAACCGGGACCGTAGTATGTTTACAAGTATCATTGTAACAAAAGAACATTCTACCTATTAATACATGTAAATATAGTATACAATATATATTCATCCATCGACCCCATACCTTTTGCACCATGCATGTAATGTATAAACTGTCCTGCACTAAATCACTGAACTCAGTTTTAATATAATATTGTGAATTATTTTATGTTTATCTAAATTTGATGATTAAAGTATGATACAGAAAACATTTTTAAAAATATATATTAATCATTTCTAGGTTCATAGTCAGAAATATCTGACATTTTCCTGGCTTTTTACGATTTTGATATTTTACTCTTTTCTGGCATGTAAAGTATCAAATCCATGAAAAAACCTTGAAAATGTCAGATATTTCGGACAATTAGGTATATGTGTAAAATATGGAGGATTATATACATGATTTCTCCATACAAACAAACTTGTTTCTTATTTATTTCACTCTTTAAAAATGATTCAGTTGAAAGTTTAGAAAAGTTTTTTTTAATATTTAGAATAAAAATTCAGATTTTTAAATTATCTTTGTTACTTTTTCAGTGACATCAAATTCTTGATAGGACCTAACAGAAAACCAATATATGCTCACAGATGTATTCTGTCCACACGATGTGCTGTGTTCAAGGCAATGTTCAGTGATCAAGCCCAGCGCGGGGAGGGGGCTCAGAATGCCAATGTACCATTTGTACTGACTGACATCTCACCTGAAATTTTCACTGCCATGATGGAATTTATTTATACAAATTGTGTTACTCTGACACCAAAGATTGTAAGTACACATTTAATGACAAATATTCTGTTATGTTATTGAATAAAATTTCTTCTTTAAAGCATTAATAGCATAAAATATACAAACATGCATGTATTTGATTCTTAGTTCAGATTGTTATTTTTTAAAAGTAACATTGCATGCATGTACTAAGCAATTAAATGCCAGCACATTATCATGCATATCAGAAAAATCTCTGTAGATGTTTATACACCAGTCTATTATGAACAAGCATATCTTTCAAGTCTGCAAAATATTGATTTTATGCTGCAATTAATTATAGGCTATTGACACCTTAGCTTCAGCCCTTGAATATGGTCTGGATGAACTCAGAAAGGTAAATAAAGTTGGAGTTTCTCATTAAACAACCTTAATTAAACAACAGAATATGTTTGTAAAAGAGAAGTCATATCAGTACACTGCATATTTGATTACATACATGTACATAAATTAGTTTAATGTTCACTTCATAATCTCATCACAAAAACTGCTTATCATTCTAGATTTACTAGGTTAATTCTTTTCCTTCAGTTATGTGGGGACTTCCTTATTGATAATCTGAGTGTTCAGAATGCCTGTGACTGTATGCAGGCAGCAGTGACCTACAGTCAACAAGAGCTGAAGGAACACACCCTACGATACATCGAGGAGCACACCGAGGTACTGTAGGCAACTGAATCACAGAATTTAAATTAAATATGAATATGTGCAAATAATTGGAAATCTAAGCAGAAAGATACACTTTTCAAATACAATAACTACAAATGGATTTGATATACTTCTTTCAAATAATATTGTTTATCAATAAAATGGAATATAAAATGCTAATAATTATTAATGTTGCACCCACTTCTTAAAACATCCTTGTTACGGAGTTTGATTTTGCCTTGACAAGATTTTAATATGTCTATTTTAGAATGTTTTCAAATCAAAAGGATTCCAAGAGCTGGGAGAAGATGCATTAATAGAGATCCTAAAGTCAGATGATCTGATGGTAGACGAGTCTGATATTATCAAATACATCAAAGAATGGGCCACAGTCAATGCTGTAAGTATTGATATTTTGTGCTACCCCTCTTATAATTAAGAATTTTCAAAAGCAGTGGGTTTGCAGACAACAAGTTAAATCTAAGTAATGTCTGATGTTGTATACAGCCAGCAAATACACCTCATTAGCTTGAAGGACATTTAGAATTTTTTTTCAAACTTCGAATTCATTTTCAAATGGGTTCCTTGAATGCATGAGACTTAGCATTAATCATTTAACTAATATGGTGAAAAAATTTCACTTTAAGAATTATTTTCTTCCAACAAGTAGCAAGCAAAATTATGTTATTTATTTTTAAATAGATATATACATTGGAAAGGTTTAATATATTTGATTTTCAATACAGGTTGTGCTGAACAAACCAATGAGTGAGGTAGCCAGGAAGATTGTGTGTTACATCCGCCTAGCTCTGCTGTCAGCCGAGGAGCTGGAGAAATCAGAAAAGGACAACAAAAAAGACAACTTAATTCCCGTAAGTGAAGATTAGTCTCTTTCTTTATATAATGTATATATATACATGTATACAAGTTCTAAACTGTGCTGAAAGACAGGCCAGTCAGGCTTTAAATCAGTAAGACCTATATAACTCCAGACAGAAAATAATTAAAAGAATATTTACATGCATGCAGATATTAGTGTAAATCACATTTATCAATTATTCATGTGAGTTATTATCTGGTAGACTTGACTATCTAGACATTAATGTTTATAATTAATTAAGGGGCACGGGCATATATACTTGCATTGCTGATCGATTTGTTCACAGTTTTGAAGTTGACAGCAAGTTTATATGTTTGAACTAACCTGAAAATTGTCTGTTACCTGCAGGAAACAAAGTTCGAGTGTTAAACCTGGCAAATTGACTAAAAAAAAAAGAAATGTTTAAACATCAATTCTTTTCTTTATAAAGGTGGAATGCTATAGTGGAGCATGGAAATTCCATGCCACCAAAAAGGGAGATAAATCTAATCCACTGTTGGTAAAACGGAAGGGAACAACAGAGCGCTCTCATCACCAAGCCCTGGAGTAGCCATTGACATTTAAAAAAAATCAGCACCAAATTCCTGCAAGACATATTGATATGTTATTGTAGAAACAAAAATCCAAAGCAAGTTTTTTTTTAACATTAAATATTCGCATATCCTGCAAATATTTGATTTACAATAATGAAACTTTTTTCTGAATTGTAAGTAGTTGTGATGTAAAATCAACTTTCTACTACTTTACATGTCTATCTATAATCATATGCATATCTCAGAATAATATGTGATGATAAATATTTTGTTATGAGCCAGTCTTTCGAAATTGTTTCAAATATTACAAATTCCAATATGGTTTTTTTTTCTTTACTGTCAGGGTATCTAAAAGGAGGTGCTTTTATCCTGACTATTGCTGTTACAATATCTATTACGTTCTGTTTCATATACTTTTGTATTAGTTGTATATACATGTATCTGTTATACTATTTTATCTGTGTTTTGAAAAATGTTTGTCACTGCATGCTGCTTTTATTTAATATAAATTTAGTATTTGTGGTATTTTAACAGTATTAACTTTGTTACAAGAGTAGCAAACAAAAGCTAGAAATTACGCATGAGGGACAATTAACACTGAATATGTGTACCAAAAAAAAAGCGTTACACGCAAACATCTCACAAGAAATAATTCTCAAATAAATGAAAAGGACTGACGCGTAAATTTTCATATGCTGATTTAATTCTTGTTTATGTCATACATTCATATGTCAACATTTGTTTTATGCATTATATTTTAATTACAATGTATTTCTTTTATGACTAAAGGTGTTTATAAATATACATGTATATATATAAAATTAATGTGTGTATAATCAAATATTGCATGCAATGTTGCACTTGTTTATAACCAATATTATCAATACATGTATAATGTACATGTTTATCAGTTTTAATTATACACTGTCTTTTGAACCAATGACAACCAAATTTAAGCCATTATGTGAGTTCTATTGATAAAATAACAAAAAAAGTCAATTGTACTTGCATGCTTTTATCAGTAGTGGTTCTTGCGCATCAAACTCCTCACTTAATAAACTTAATTTATTTTTCAGTTTCATTTTCATTTCTGCCACAATTCGATACCGCTTTTCTATGGCCAATTATACTACTTTTCCGCGAATATATTTTCAGCAACTCTTTCCCGTACCTTACACATTAACCCGGCGAAAACTGTTACCCCCTGCCAAGCTGCCACGGTTGAAATTACATGTATTGCTTTGCATATTTTATCTACATTGTATGCTGCATCAGTAACACAAATCTCTATTCTTTAAAAGATTAACCTTTCTATACGTTTATTAATACATTTGTTGTCATATTTTTTTTGTATGAACAATATCCAAAACATATACTGAAAACTCCCAGCTGCAAATATAGAGTATAGTCGCGGAAAAACAGGTTGCAAAAATAAAATCGGGGAAAAAGCGGGTCAGCCCTTAATTTAACTTCCATTCCTGAAAAAAGCTCTTGCATGCTTCCGGCCGCTCTTCTTAGATGTACAAGCAATATATATATATATATATATATATATATATATATATATATATATATATATATATATATATATATATATATATATATATATCTTGATTGCAGTTTATTGTTATTTAAATGAAGTAAGACAGACGGTTACGTAACACAAAACATTTGCAAGCTGATTTTATTGGCAGATGATATTTCTCTCCAAAATCAATTTCAAATTAAACCCATCACTGATAATTAAATTTGATTAAAGTCAAAAGAAAACAGGCCCCGTTATTTTTAGTGTGTAATAACTGCCAGCGTTTGTTTGATCAGCCCCCTCCTTTACAGCATCAGTATCTTGCTTATTTTCTCCCGCCAAATCTTCGATCAAATTTTCTCGTCTGCGAAACCAAACATGCACCCGACTTCCGGTTATTAGAGGAGCTCCCGTGTGTTCCAAAGTCTCTGTTGATGAGTGACATTTAGGTAGCGGGCTTATGACTCTATTAACCTGTGATCAAACTTGCATAGTTGCCATAGAAACTGAAAATCGATACCTGTAATAAGTATTACTAAATTGTGTATACGTAGTCTTGGTTTAATGGCGAGAGAATTATAATTGATCCAGGCAAGATTGCAAGACCAGCATTGGTGACAAATTGGTTCCAGCACTTGGACAGTATCAACACTCACTGAACACTGTAGCATACTTTTCATGGAGTTACAGCGCCCGTAGTTACCAAGACATGGTGCTAACGCGATTGTAGTAGCTTGATCTACAATCGTGACACAGTTGTAATTCCATCTGTATACGGCGGTTATTCACGAAAGGTTCATCACCAGCCGTTATTTAATAAGTGCAATAATCATTACTTGTGCTTTCTACGAAAAAAAGAACGATTGATTTGGAAGAGCAGTCACCGTAAAATCTGCTGACTGCGATACGGCATGGTATTAGGCCAAGAAAATCTATCAGTTGACCACCAAGACAATAAGAGGGAACATCACAAGGGGGGTGGTAGGTTATACGGGAGACGGAATGACGCCTCGTCCCCATGCGTCTTTTGTGGATTTCGGGGATTATCAGGAAAGCTGCCATGCTGTGTTGTGGAACTTCCCGGGTGAGTAGACACATCACGTGATCGATTTTCAAGGTGTTAGGCATCTTATATCAAGATAAGCCGTTCAACTTTTTGGTTTTCCTAAGTGAAGCATATACTAATACATACTTCATGGTATATGCAACGTCTGTAGCGCTTTGCAAATGATTCTTGATTTAGAAAAATAGGTTAAAATTGTCTTATTTTATATACAGTATTTCCTCTCAGTCTTTTATTACTCCAAAGTGTAGAGAGAAAATCCGAACAATTTTATAACATTGATTATTATACGACGGCGGAAACCTGGAGTGTAGGCTATCTCCCCACGGACGTAGTGCTAGCACGTATCCCGTGATCCGCAGGGATAGCTTTTGTTTTCTCACTTTTCTGAACTGTATCGTTCAGTATGAAAGCGATCTCGGCGAATTCTTTCGACTTACATGGAAATCAATGCATTTTTAAAGTGACTTAAAAGGATATAGCTCCAATTAGGACAATATTTAGCCCAGCACATCAACAGTATGAAATAACCGTTCTCAGTGAATCGATATATTGCTGAAGTGACTGATTTATGCGTATAAAGTCATAGGGCAGTAGGGTCATCTGTTTTTTTGTCTTACTGATAGAGCACAAGTAAATTGTAAACTTTGTTTGATTTTGTGAATACAGAAGGTAGATTTAACTTATAATAAATCGCTATCCAAAATGATAAAAAAAATTTGCATGCAAAAAGTCATCAACTTTACTCGATTTATCAAACAAGACTTTCACCACTTTTACCATACACTTTCAAGACTTTTTTGTGTAAAAAAGTTTACACAAAACTTTTTATTATCCCTTTTGTAAGGAACTACATTTGATCTAAGCTTGTCGACACAAAGAGATATTTATACTAGTGAATGTTTTAACAAGTAAATTGAAACAGTAAAACAAATTAGAAACATTGTGGTTGATCTAGAGAGATAATGTAAATAATGGATATGTCAACCTTGGGGTCTCCGTTAGCTCAAAGGGAGAGAGATCTCGCAGAGTCCATTACCATTTCCTGGACAGAATTGATCCTGCTACTTCACAAATACCCACTCAAAGTACCAAGCAACAGATCTGCTCGCTAAACTCTCTTTGTCACTCGCATGGGATTTCGACATGACACTCATCATATTGGTAATTCCGTAGAATTATTTCTCCGAGATTCTGCCCGCTCTAATGTCCAGCAGCTGGACCACATCCTCAGCCTACGTGTTTTAAAGATAATTAAAGTAAATGCTTACTAGAATTTTTCTTAGATGAACAATGTCTTGTATAAATTTATGAATTTGTAAAATCTGTATTTCAAAGATATAACTGTATATTTAAGCATAGGAATGAGATACGTACATGTACCGGTATATCAGTAGAACGAGATTGCTTTCTCTTTAAATATGAAATTAAACTTGACACATAACAAAAGTAAAGATAACGAACACTTAGAGATCTTTAAAATATATGAACAATGCAAATCTGTGAAAAGGGCACTAAACACTGGTCCTTGGAGATTCCAGAGACGGAATGAGGTGCCGAGGAAGGGAAAACATCCCGAGCCCTACATGTATATGTATTTAACCTATTGTACTTCATAATTCATATTCAAATCAAGATGTGTTTGTGAAACACTATGCGCCCGGCGGCAAGAAAGTTAAAAAAAAAAAACATTTTTAGCATATGGGCCATAGTCAAGGTTACAGATCTTGATGTCATTCGAAAGAACTTGATTCGTGAAGTATGCATACCAGATATGAAGTCTCTATCTCTCATGGTTTAAAAGTTATGCTGAAGATTCAAAAAAGCTATTTTTAGCATATAGGACACAGTCAAGGTCACAAGGTCATTGACCTTGGTGTCATATGAAAGAGCTTAGTTAGTGGAGTAAGCATACTGAATATGAAGTCTCAACCATTCATGGTCCAAAAGTTAAGACGAAGGTTAAAGTTTGCAGACAAACAGACAGACAGGACAAAAACAATATACGCCTCGGATCTTTCGATTCGGGCGCATAAAAAACGAAAAAAAGCTAAGCGTGCTCTATTTGTCCCGGTCAGATTGGAATCTGTTATTTGTTACTCCGACCTCAAATCTCGAATCCAAAGAAACTTAAAAATCAACAACGTCAGCACATGCCACCTTGGTACCAGACAAAGCAGACATTAAAACGGCTCTAAAGGTTATGGTAGATTAATGCAGCAAATTTTGACGTCCTCCCTAAGGTATCCATCACAGAAGATGGAATGCTGCTCTAGCAAATGAATTGCATGTCACGGCAATTACTAGTGATGACGGATGACAACCTTTTAAGCTGATTGTGTAAAGTTATTATTCGGAAAAAAAGATATGTACGAGAACCAAACCCTTGTATCTTGTGAACATTTTGGTGCTTTATAAACAATATGTATTACTGGAATTGGGAGTGCTCAATTTAATTGTAGGACAATAAGGGAACTGTTCCATTTACTTTGCTGTGTTCTGGATACTAGTCAAAACCCTGGTCCTTTAAGTCAGTTTTCATTTATTGCATTTTTCAGGATAAGAATAAATCAAGCATAGATAAGTTAATATAAACACGACATTGGTGAAAATTGTTAGTATCCAAAAGAAAGTCTTGTTACAAGAAATAAACATGTGAAATATGAAAGCCCTAGTACTAACTGCTAAAAAGGTACAGTCAGGGTCAATTTAAGGACAGAAGATCAAAAATATTTATACCAATGGAAGGTTCTCAGCACTAAGGTCTTGTCACAATGGATACACATGTAAAGTATGAAAGTCCAAGCACCAACTGTTCAAAAGTAATGGCCAAGGGTTGGGAAAAAATGTGAAAGTGGATCAGACTCCGCTGTCATATTTAAGTCAAATATCTTCATTCCCAAAGTCAAGAATTGTCACGAGGAATATACTTGTGAAGTATAAAAGCAAAACCTCCAGCCAATCAAAAGTAATTGAGAAGGTTTTTTTTTCGGACAAACAGACAGACGGAGGGACATGGCAAAAAGTATAATACATCCCCGGATTTTCGGTTACGAGGGCATAAAAAGACAATAATCGGTTGCATTTGTCAGATTAAAGCCTGGTCCGACATGATTTAAAAGGTCTCTTCCTCCAATAGTGTAACAACCATATAGAGATTAAAAATGTTACTCGAATTATGCATTTTACATGTCAGTATGATAAATCATTATTAACTTGCTATATCTCAAATGTTTTAAAGGTGTATTTTTAGATAAGTTTGGACACACATTTGTATTTGTATACATGTATACATATGAATATGCAGTTTCCTGCTTAAATTGGTCAGTATTTGAAACTAAACATTATGATTTTGATAATTAGGATTTTAATGTCTTAGTTCAAAATTCTACGTTCTAACCTGTTACATGGATTCCAATTATCAATAGGTTTTGACGCTGTGATAAAAACCATGATATCAGTACAAGGTTTTAAAAACAGTTTCTGCTATGGTGTTGATTTTTACGTTTTGGTACCATTGCTTAATTATTCACAAGGAAGAATAGGATTTTAATTTTCTTGCAAGGGTCTTATGTTATATAGTGTTTCTTTGTTGTTGTTTTTTTAAGAAAGTATGAAAATATTATACTGCATTGTGCTTAACACTTTGAGTGCGTTCAAGAAAAATGCAAAAAGGCTTAAGCGAACTATAAAGGCTTTCATTTTTCAAAAACAAATATATGATGCATAGAAAATTTATGCTGTTTTTGTCTTTTTCAATGGCCTTTTGATAAGAAAAACTTTACAATATACTCTACAATAATTATTATTTTATACCTGCTCCGAAGGAAAGGAGATATACTGTTTTAACTTTGTGTTTTTGTATCTTCGTAACAAATTTCCATACTAAGTATTCCTAGCATGCTTGAAATTTTAACTGTTTGACGTGTATGGTGGCATTCATTTTTGCACGAATCCGATGACAACTTCCTGTTTATCCGTGCACCTGTCCGTATCCAAAGAAGATGGGCGCATTTGGCTTGTGATCTGCAGGAATCATTTGAACGAAACATTTTTGGGAAAAAGTACATTTTTTCGTGGTCTCTGGGTCTTCTCTCCATTTTTTAAAAACGTGTATTCGTTTCTTTGAATTAAAATACACACAACGTTTCAAAATCATGGAGAGAAGACCCAGAGATAGAAAAAAAAATTAGAAAAACGTGTTTAAAAATGTACCATTTTATACCAAATGTCTGATCTGGCCAATTTTCAAGTTATTTTTTAGCAAATCAAAGCTCAATTTCGGAAAAAATATTTTCCTTTCCTGTTGCACAGGAACCCGATAAATAAAAAAAATTATAACATTTTATGTGACATGTCGATCAAATTTTCACTTTTCAATTACGCCCAGATTCCTACCGAATGCCAATCAAAACCGCCCTCGTTCTTTCATTCGTTGTTTTCTTAGCAACTACTCATCGCGGATCCTTGAAATTTTTTGAACCCTTATGGTTTGTGGTGGGACTCCTTTTTTGTACGTACGAATTCAATGTCAAGTTCCTGTTTATCCGTGCCTCGGTCAGAACCGAATTTACATCAGAGCTTGCCACGGGTATTACTAGTGAGCACTGGCTCATGGTCTTCTTGTTATATTACCAACACCTCCTAAAACAGATACTCAAAGGAAGTTGAAAATAAAACATCGATATAAAGATAACGAGCTATGACTCTAGGGGAACGATTACAGTTTTGTGTTATTATATGCAAGGATCAAATTAACAGAGGCACGCTATGGTAATCATTTTATTCAGGGCTTATATGACAACAGGAATGAGAATAGTCCTGTTGTATTAATATAGATAAGTGTTTTCTGGTCCAGTAATAGCCCTCTTGTATAAAATCTTGGCATTTTGATGAAGAGGTGTATCGTTTTGATTCACTGTTTTTCTTAGTATTTCTGGAATCATCTAATAATCTCTAATTATTGTGTATTTATGGCCATCTTTAGAACTACAAAGATGTATTATACGCGTAATATATTC